GATTTCAGGCAGATGGAGCTAGAGAGAGACTGTCAGAACAACAATACAACCGCCTTGTGGAGTACATCACAAAGACATCCTATCACCTTGCTCCCAGCACCGCGACAGTGCCAGCATTGCAAACTGTGGCTACCGAACACCTTCCAACTATAATGAAAACATATCAGTATGTAGTTGATCCAAATTTTGCCCAAGTATTTATTAGCAAATTCACCATGGTGAAAAATAAAGCCTTGAGGAAAGGATTTAATTAGTAATTATTTGTGGAAAGTAATGCTTTCTCTGCAGTAACCTACACCAAGTAGAGGTGCATATAATTTTTAAGGAGGTAGGAGATGATAACAAAGTTAAGCCCGATAGCTTTTCTAATCTTGACAACATTCCTTCCCCAGCCCAAATACTGGTGCTGGAAGGAAAGTGTTCTAGCAAACAAATAAAGTGAAAAGGAACAGCCTTGGACTATAGCTCAATCAAAATCATTTTCGCCACACACACAAACTGTGTACCAATACCTACTGTATCGTATTTTAGGGTCTGCCAGTTTCTGTTATAAACCAGGTTTATAACTCAGCTGTAAAAACTTGCTCAAGGCTGAGCCTTTCCCCCCACACACGCACTCCAACCTTTGCCCTCGGCCCCTCACCGCTCGGACCCAGATAGCCTGAGGCAAAACATTTTCCCCTACTAAATCTGAAAAACCCGGTGTGGCTGGTTTAAGTTACTAGTGACAGCTGGGTTTTAGCACCACTTTAACCTTAAAATAGCTTCCTTTATTTGACTGAAGTTTTGCAGGACATTAGTCCTTAATGTAAACTAGTGCCTTTGTGTGGTTTGGAGAACAAAACATGAACTACAACGTGAATTTATTTTTAAACCTATCTGTATACAGAAACTTTGTTTTATCCACTATCAAATTTTCAGAAGGACTTTCAATGTATATACGACATTGTGCATTGTCCGGTTGTTAGCTGGAAGCCCGTAATATGCAGTTCAAAAATGCAAGAAACAGAGCTTAATCTCCTTAAAATCTACCAAAAATCTATAAGGTCAATGTAACCTAGATGTGCAAGTGCTAAGTGCAGCCTTGCCGGGTCTCGCTTACCACTGATCTGCCACCACTACACGTAGTACCTGCTCACTTAAGCCCTAATTCATTTTATGCTCATCATCTTTGAAGACCTAAAACCAGGGATATTTAGAAACATAAGCTTTCAAATATGTTTGTGCTAAACAAAGTGAGATTTCTTTTTCTTTTCAAGTTGATCGAAAAGTATGGACACACAGGTGCCAGTTAAATTAATAGTTAATGATGCCATCACAACACACTTATAAGTTAAATACATCAAGACAAATGAGCTTTCTAAGTTCTTATATAAGAGCTTTCTTATATTTCAGACGTTTTACAGTTTGTAGTAGACAGGAAATCACTGTCTCTGGGCACACTTAGATTATTTTATAAACCAAATCTGGCTATGGCAGTTTTAGTTTAAAAACAAAAGCTTAGTTGGTTTTCAACTATGCATGTTACTTTTCTCTTTTTCCGTGTACTTACGGACATGAATTTTGTCTGGGGATTCCTGAACACGGACAGAATTGGAGACAAGAACTGGAATCAAATCTGATCATCATTTGGAGCAGATACATAGGCTTTATAGTTAGTTAATAATTTCTATGCATACTTGATATGACCAAATGCACAGCAAATAAGAATGTAGTAGTTGCAATGTTTTTCTTGCGAGTTCTGTTTTGTTAAAAGGTATTTCTAAAAGCCGTGTCTCTTGTGTACTGAAAATACAGAAGCCTGGGATCTGCATTGTCCTTTTCTGACTGTGAAATAAGCCCATCCATTATCAACATTTCATACAGTGATTTAATGACTTAGTCATTGTTTAAATAACACTATTTAAATAAATGAATATGTATATACACACACATGCTTCATTTCTGAATATTTTATGGAAATAGTTTAATACTTCTAATTTTGCATATTGGTGGATAAATTGTAATATAATGAGATTGTATAAAGATAATAAAGCTATTCCTGTAATACTTGGTCTTGTGAGCTATTTGGTCACTGGGTTACACGGGAATGAACTTGTCAATGTGTAGAACAGTGACAAGACATACAAGCTTCAGGGAGACCCTGTTAGATTCCAGCTGGTCACTGGACTTCGTCGTGTACCAAAAAATGCAATAGATCATGACAATTCTTTGGAAGTAAGAACTGATGATTCGCTTGCCAAAAAACACGTGCTGAAAAGTTTTATGGTTTTGTGACTAACTGAATCAAAACAGCACTGCAGTCGCCATTTGAATTAGACTGATCTGTTCACTATTTATGCAGTACACAATCCAGACCAGAGGATGCAAACACACCTGTAAGAAATGAGAGAAGGCAGCCGATTAATTTCTACAAGGTTGTAGATTGCAGCCATTGTTTAAGATACATTTGTGTTTTTCCTGGGTTATATTCTCCTGGAATAAACACTTGCTTAAATTACACTCTTCTTCAGTGACTTAAGCGAGCATCTTTACTGCATTAGGCAGGTTCTTTCTCCCCCTTCTGACCACATGTATGGAAACATGTGTGGAGCCGGCATATAAATCAGCCTCTCCCACATATGAGCTGTATGAACTATGAAAACAAAGTTGTCCAAAGAGCAGCTGCCTGTACTTAGCTGCTAAAGCACTCCAATGTGTACTCCTAAAACATGCCTACTCTCATAATGCTCTTTAGACCTGAGAGCTCACAACTTCAAATCTGTCTTTTTAGTTTGCTTCCAGAACAATCAATCATTCCTCAAACACTGGATAATAAAGTTAGCCAGCCAAAAATGTGAAGGCCTGGTCAGGCTTATACACAGCAAAACCTTTTCCAACGTAGTTTAGGGCAAACAATTCTTTTATATATCATTTCATACATAAATATAGCAAAAACCTTTACAGACAGTCGAGATGGTCTCAGAGCAGACAAGGACGTTTTTTTCAGCTCTGCGCCTCCTAGAAACAGTGTGCCAGACCCTGTAACAGGCAGCTGACTAGGGTCTAACTCACCCTGGGGTCTAACAAGGTCTTTCTTGTACTACACTAAGTCCCACTCCCACTTGTTTGTAAAATGGGATTAGCTGAACTTTTGCTGGCAAAGGCAAAAAGAAAAGAAAAAAAAAAACGGAATGGTTGGTGCTGATTTCAGAAAAGGTTAGCCCTTCTGCCTAGTGCTACGTTAGGTACCCAGCTTTGCCCTCCTGTCCCGCTCCAGAGGAAAGCAAGCTATGGGTTAGTTGGCATTGTCTGCTGAGAGGCAGCATTTCCTGTGCATCTGTTGTGAAATGAGAATACATATATACACATACACACACACACACACACACACACAATTATAACCTGCAGGCTCTCAATGGCCATAGAAGGTAGAGCTCACCTTTCATTGCTGTGGTTGACTATGTTTAGGCAGAGACATCTCTGAGCAATGCTGTATGGTCAAAAAAAGGTATCTTCAGTCACAAGCCTCCCATTTCTTTAGATTAACACGTGCTGGTAACTGAAGGAACACAGACTGCAGCAATAACTGCTGTTGGCTGTAACAGTTTAGAAGAAACTTAGAATTTAAAAGTAAACTAATCCATAGCAACTGGGAAGAATACAGGGGCACGAGCTGCAAGGGAAATCGGGTCTATGAGCCTGCACACCTGGCAGTAGCAAGTGTCTTTGCCCCTGAAGCTGTCAGCATGACTAAAGACCCCTGGCTATTTAAACCTGCAGACATGCCTGAGAAAAAGTTAGTCAGTACCAAATGGCATACAATGTTTATTCTGTACATTGGGAAGAAGATAAATGGGTATCATTTGCTCTTGTTAAGCTCTGGTTTACATTTATAGGAGCAGGGTATTTTGATTACTAGATGGTTTCCCCTGCACCACTAATGTCAAATTCTTCCTTTGCTTAAAGGAAGCACTGCCTGTACGGAGAGTTTAAAGAAAACCCCATGTTGCTCTATAATAGTGTTCTGGATCAAAGACATTACTTGCATGCTTTCATTAGTCCAACTGTTGCTCACGGATACCTATTAAGTGTTAAGTAGTTAATGATCCATTTGAAATACTAAGTTCTCCAAACAGGATTTGAACTGAAGACCTTCAAATACAACACAGATGGCTTAATTTGTCATGCTTCTTCATGCAAAGCCTTCCCTCCTTTTGCACAATCAGCTCTGACTCCTCTCTTAGTGCCCACGCTCGGCAGTCAAGAGCTACAGTCCTCGCACCATCTTCAGCCTCAGCAACAGGCAAAGCACAAAGCATGTTCCAAATGACAGGCATCAGGTCTTGGACTACACGGAATGCAGCAGCGATCAAAACTATGCTTAGCTGACTACTTCCAGATATTAAAAAGCAGATGATACATGTCTAGAAGCAGCACACAGATTTTCATTACTGTAATATCCTAAAATTAGCATTGCTTACTTTGCCTGCTTTTACCCTCTTCCCCCTTGTACATCAAACACATGTGAACATACCTGCAGTTGAAAGTCACTTTCCAATTAGAGTAACATACCAGGTATAAGAGTGGGCATTTGCACTGTCTTGATGTAACAGTTTGCTGCTGTTAAGGATGGCAACACAGTGATGGCAGCAGAAAAGAGAGATGGGAAGGCTAGGTAGTCTATTTCCAGAATTCCTCTCCGAATTCTTCATCTCAAGGTCAGCTCACCTTCTGAAGCCTGAGGCAACACAGACCCTTCCAGAAATCCAGCCTCTCCCTTCCTGTAACAACAATCCTCTTGCATATTCCCATCAGCAGCTGGGACAACCTAGCTGTAACTGCTTAGGGATAGACTTTGTTATCGAACGTGGAATTTGGCCAAAACAGAGATGCAAATAACTCCTGGGGGGAAGAAAACTAGACTTAGTAATCTTGAGCAATTTATGAAGACTTCCACCACTCTTCCCAGCATCTGAGCATTTAGGCATTTCAACATTAAAGACGACAACTAAGCACCACTGACATATGTATTTTATTTATTGAGTTACATTACAGCGTGCAATGCACTGAAGTGCATGACACTTTACAATTCAGCGGACAAATAAGGTTCGGTCATCAGGTCTCCTTAGACTGAAGGGGATCTGCAAGATAAAAAAAAAATATAAGTTATGTTGGACAAACTTCATGCTCTAAGTAAACATACTAGTATGTACAAATGCGAAGCAATAGAGAGAAATGTTTATGTGGTGGTTTAGTCTAGAGGAATTCCCCCTGCTATTTCCTGATGGTTTAAGATTCACACACCCTTCATGTGGCAAACAGAAGTGAAACATGGAACAAATCAAGAGCTGGAACAATACTGCAGAGCACGTCAGACTCACTATACATGCTGCACTGATAACTGAATCAATCTTGCTATGGGCCTGAAAGAGAAAGGAATGCAGCTTTCAGATAGGAGCCAGGGAGGAAACAAGCGGTGTAGGCAACCTACCAAGGAAGGAAGAAAACCAAATTCAAATTGCTTCTCCACATTATACTGAACACAACCCAAGACCAGCTGTGCTCCATGACAAGAGTCATGCGAGTGGTTAGCGCCGACCTCTCAGCTTGCCCCTTTATCCTGTTACTGAGCACCCTGCAGAGGCAGGATACTCCTCACACGGACGCTTGCCCTTAGCTCCCAGCATCGGCATCGCCACACGAAGTCTGCGCCAAGCAGACGAAACAGCGCAAATTCACACTCCGGTACCGAGTTGCCCAGCTGGTACAAACTCAGCGCAGAGTGCCAAGCCTCAACGCGCGGATTCTCCTCCCTGCCTACCCTACACCCTCCTCAACTTTGGGGCTAAGTACTGATTCCAGAGGGGGGATTCCAGGAGGTTAAACCACTGTATTTACTGCGTAATAATGTATTTACTGCCACGTACAGAATATATTCCAATAAAACGGGAGATGTAGAGCATGCATGACCACTGTACCCTTTAGGTAACTACACCAAAAAGAGCATCAAATTCAACCTCCACCCAACTTCCATAGCTAAGATTTAAGCTACTGAGGCAAATGAAAATGTCCTCCATCTGTCCTGTGTACTTGTCCTTTTCAGTCTTTCCAGAACAATGAAACACTGGCATTGTTTCCCCCTTCTCCTACTTATATATTCCTGTGCAGGCACAAAAAACCCAACCTCTTTCTACTACAAAGGAGTGAAAAATATCAGTTCTTATGTAAATAGGCTAAGGAATAAGAAGCATCAGCAATTCAAACAAAATCACATATAAAGATTTGTCATTCACATTTTCTTGTGAGCTGCTGTAATTAAGGAATGGAAGACATGTTTAGGAAACATTTAATTTTAACAGGTGCACACAATGTGCTACGGTTGGTTTTTTTCAAGCTGCCAATGGGAACATAAGCTGAGAGTGGTGTTCTATTTGCACTGAAAAAATCCCGCTCATGATTCCAATTAAATATTCAACATGCATCCTTGTTGACAGTGTTTGTTTCAAATGATTTTACCACCAGATGGCCTTTCAGAATACTCTTGATGAGGGCCACCTGACTAAAGAATGCAATTCCAGTGTCTAAGAAAGTTTAAAAGTGCCTATATATTAGCAAGAGGACCAAGCCAGAGGCAGAATTAACAAGATTAAAGCCAGGTAAATTTATCATCCCATTATTTATCTCTGTTGCAGTCATAGCTAAAGAACAGAAGTTTCCCCACCTCTCACAAAAAACAAACAAGCAAACAAAAGAAACCAACCACAAAGGGACTGCCCTGTTTTTGGGGGTTTTTTTTTCTTTTTAAATTTGTTAGAAGAGCTGGAGGTCTCCTTTTTCTATGTAATTCTGTTATGCAGAAATCAGATAGTTGCAGATTGTCACACAACAGGATTTAGTGTTAATAGTGTTAAGTACAAATCTTTTATTCAATCTTGCTGCTTTAAGCAAACAGGCTGAGAAAATCCAGCTGGCCAGGATAATTAGAGCCACAGATTATCACGTAATGATCACAATATGAAAACATTCCAAAAGAATGAAAAAGCTATCATTCTAGATTAGTTTTAAGTCGTTTTAAGAGAAGCAGAGAACTCAATGTAAGAAATCTGGATGAAGAAAGGGGGAGGAATTCTTTATTGAGTTGTCACATCATGAACTTGTGCAGTTTAGTGACTGTGCTTATTAATAACTACTACAAGGTTGAAATCAAGACTTTTTTTTCACTGGTTAGTTATGACAAGTAAGGGAGAACAAAGTTGGGTAGTCTTCAAACAAAAGGCAGTGTTAAGTGCTAGGAAAACAGCATCATGAACAAAGTTCTACTCAAGCTTAATTCAGTGTGGCAAAAATCTGAATATTACTATGCAGAGCTGTATGCCATTGCGATTTTATATTTTCATATATATGTATGTATTTAAATATATTTCCCCTCATGACTAGTTATCTCCCCTCTCTCACCAACGTCAAAGCTGTCTCTGTTTCTCACATTAAGATGCATGCTGAGAGAGAGAGAGACAGCCTCTCCCTTGTCTCGTTCGCTGTACCACCACAAGCACATAAGCGGTAGGTACAGACAGCCTGAAGCCGAGCAATTCAAGGCGTGACAGCAGCAGCGTAACAGTGGTATCAGGCAAGTCTTAATATTTAATACAAGAGCTTTGTCCCCTCTCCATGGCCGCATGAGGAGCGCAAGGCCTGGTGTCCCTCTGTGCAAGTCTCCCGTATCACACCAGGTAAACAAATCACCCAAAAGGCAGTCAGGAGCTTTCTATTCTCACTCCCCGCTCCCGTTCCCCTATTTTTTCATGGTTTTATTACCCGGAGGTCTCTCGAGTACAAGGTTTATCCTTTTTCTTTGGGAGCACGTTTCTAGTTGATCAAAAAGGAAGAACCTCCAAACAGAAGCACAATGTTTCACTGAAACAATGTAACTCACTCTTGTTCTAATGCAGAGCAGCTTATTACCTCTAAATGCAGGTAACCATCATTTGGGCGGTGCAGACTCAAACACACCAGCTGCTCTCATGGCTTCAAAGTCCTTCATGGGATCATAGTTTTTATAGAACTCTGCATAAGCTCGTTTTCTGGGATCAGCAACTCCAAACTGGAAAGTGACACACAGAAAATTATCTTGCAAAGCTTTACAGACAGAATTTTTTTTCCTACTAGTGATACGATTAGTACCAGTGCATATCTGACTAAAAAGCCTGCAGCTCGAATTAGTAAAATGTTGCTTTGTTCCTGTTCAAATCCACAGTTCAGGCTACCTGATCATTGGTCAGGAAAACAGATGTCTGATGTGAAACCTTAAAAAGAGAGTCCATTACAAGACAGTGCATTATGCTTTTAAGATACAGAAACACTCCACCTCTATCGACACTCAAGCGTCCAATGCCATGTTTTTACATGTAAAACATGCCATTATGGCAAGTTTTGTGCCTGTGGGCAGCTGCATAACTGTAACTCCAGATAAAATGGCATCTTAAAACAAGATATTACATTTGAGCTACACTGTTGGTCAACTACAGAAGTCCAGTAAAATTTTACAAGTCTGCCAAGCCACTCTCACAGCTCACTGACAAAAAAAGACATAAAGCCGACTCCTTGAGTACTCATTCACCTGAAGCACAGGGATATGCTCAAAAAGCCCCCAAAAATGTGAAGGCAAGTCCAAGGTGGGTTTGTCCAACAGTATCTAACATGTAACGAAGTAAATCCCTACTGAGATCCATGTTATTTGTTCTAAATATGGTCTGATGCCTTACTAGCATATTAATGTGGGGGTGCCAAATAAGGTATAAAGCCACAGACTCCTAAAAAAAAATTGTATTTAAGTCTGACCACAAACAAGCTTGTCTGCCTCTTAACAGATGTCTTAAGTAGATGTGGAGCTTTAACTGTGCAAGGTTGTTTCTGATAGACACCTGTTGATCTCCAAGAAGCTCAAGTCAACTGTGGTATTGTCGTGATGAACAACCTGACATTAATTTAATTTCTAGTCGCTTTTATCAATAGCTTCCCCAGTACTCAAATGCTGCAAACACTGTATGAGTGAGTTCAATGGGCAAACCAAGACCCAGTTCTGCCACAGTAACTCAGACTGTTGCTTGCTTTGTGTATGAGATCTGGGATTTAGTACAGGCACTCAAAACCAACTACCGCTCTTATCTGTGTCAGAAGTCTCTTAAGGACCATGAAAAACAAACTCCAATCTGTTAAGTGGGTTTTTTTGGACATGTAATGCTCCATTTCTACATGATACTTCAAAAGAAAGGCTAAAAGGACCATACTAGCCTTCCCCACACCGCTGTCTTCAGCATGAAGGATGGGGTTTCCAAATTGCCTATGAGCATGTTGTCTGAAATCAGTCTAGAGATAAAGTAAGACTTTGACAACTTTCTCAAGTCTTGGATCTCGTGACAGAGAGACACACAGCCTATCTAGTTAATGTGCATCATCGTGAGAATGATCAAGAGAAGTCTAGGACTAGGAGACTCAAGGCTGTCACGAATTGCATGATCTTGATCACACAGCTTAAAGCATCATATCATTTCTTCAAATGAAGATTAGGAAGATTTATTTATGTTCTGGAAACATGCTTACAAAAATACATTACTAAAGCTTTCTGATGAACAGCTCAAACAAATCTCAACATAAAAATATTATGAATTCTTAAAACAGTCTAATGAGTCCAGTTTATAGAATGACTACAGAGCTCACCTTGTATAAAGCTGCACATCCCACAGATACAATAAATGCCCCAAACAGGTGAAACTTCATCCGCCTGGCCAAAAGGCGCCGCATTTGTGGCTTAGGCAATAGTGCAGACGACATTGTGATTGTACTGCCTAAAAGGAAAAAAAAAAAAAAGGAGAACTGTGGGACAAGAAGCTCTACTTAAATAATCTGTAACTCTACTCTAGAAAGACTGTGCTTTCTGTATTGTGTAATAATCATCTTCAGAACATAAGCAACAGCACTGCTTTCCATTTGGCTTTTCAATGAGAATATTTAAGGGACAACATTCAAGGGCAACCTATTGTTAGGTTAGGACAACAATAGGTTGTCCTTGAATGAACTTCACGTGAATCTAAGTAAGTTTTTATACTCCTTACAGCCAGTACTCATGGAATCAACACTGGACTTCGCTGTTCATACTAAACCCTTCCCTCCCTGTAGGTTCTACCACTTCAGGGCTGCTGTCCTGGTCTTTACATCAGAAAACATTCAGAACCTTGATCACGTTTTACTCAAGGAAAAGCATATGCCTCTTGAACCAGTTTGCGGGTTTTTTTGAAATAACTGCAAACCCTATTGTATTAAAGGATTTCTTCCTATTCGGTAAGATTTTACTAAAAAATCTACAAGGCCTGAAGCAGGCGGCTCTCTTTAAACACAAAATGAAGGTTCACTGGGCTGGGGTGGCTCCAAAACGGTGCTGCCCTCTGTGCACCCTCCTGAGCTTGTAGCCTGAAGGATCAGGCCTGTGGCCGTTGCTTATTTGTGTAATTAAGGGAATTAATCTCCCGGGAGCGAAGGCCAGGAGACGGCCCCAAGGCCCCTGGTGCTGCCCACAGCCGCGCACGCCCGCCCTCCCCTCACATTTAAGAGGAACCACCACAGA